GTTGTTCAATAATGTCCTAGTAGAATTAGCCAACATAATTATGCAAAGAAGTGCACGTACTAGAAAGGAAACAGCAAAATCCTAAATTATCAACATTAGTAGGTGATTATTACCCAGAAAGTCAAGTAACTCAAATTAGAAAACTATAAATAATAGAAAAACTATTACAAGCAATAAAAGTATTCAACTATCTGTCAAAATTTAAAAGTACTATATAGAGGTATCATAAATTTGAAAATATGAAAGGATAAAATACCATTTATTATAATAGCAAAGCATATCTAAAGCATTGGATTGAGTTTAAGGAGCATATACAAAATATATATAAATAAAACTTTAAAATGCAAGTAAAAGACAGAAAATAAAACCTGAGTGGAATAAAAGATGTGATCTTTTTGGTTTGGAAGATTTTATATGGAAAAATATCATTTCTCTCTATTAATTTTAATGCAGTCTCAATTAAAAAATATATTCTGAAATTTGTAGGAAAAATAAATAAAGAAGAGGAATTGGGCCTATAAGATATAAATTATACAATAAGGCTCCAGTAGATAAACCAGTTTGGCACTATCAGTAATTTGACAGGTTAACAGGACAATGTAGAAAGTATAAAAGCAAATGCAAATATACTTGGTAATATAGCTCATAATTATTAAAGGAAAAGTTGAATCCCTTAATACATTGTATGGGTATAAATGGCAAGCTACTAAGGAAAAAACTGAAGTGGAAGCTGTACCTTACACCTAACAATGCAGGTTATTTCTGGAAGGATAAACAATTCAATTGAACAAAAAAAGAAAATGCAGATATAGGAAAAGATAAAGTATAAATAGGAGAAGCTATTTTCAATGTGCATAACAAAGAGCAACTTTCTGGTATATAAATATCTCTTCCAACTCAATAGAAAAAAGAATAAAATAAATATTAACACCTGATTCAGTTATTCCATAGAAAATATAAATGAGTTAAAAAATGTGGAAAAATTTTGAGTAATTTCTGGGGATCTAATATATAGCAGGGTGACAAATAGTTAAAAATACTATATGAAAGTTGCTCAGAGAGTAGGGCATAAATGTCTTCAACACACACAGGCAATTATGTGAGGTGGTTGACACATTAATTAATTGATTTCTTGTATCAGATCATTCGTGTTGTACTTCTTAAATTTATATAATGGTATATAATATTGTCCCCTAAAATTGGGGGAAAATAGAAAAAAATTCCTTGCAATTACTGAATTCAAGAAATGAAAATAATAAAAAAGAAATATTTCCCTTTTAAATATATTGACAAAGATGGATAAGTTTGGTAACAAGTTTTCCCTGGGTGTGAGGAAGCATATTTTTTCTGGCATTGTGAACTGTGACCACCTCATTCAAGATTAATTTCACAGTAGTTTCCAAAATTTAAAGTGTACATACATATATTAAGCCTGGTATTGCAGTCTCTAGGAAATTATCCTTCAGTACATTTTCATAGGGGCACAATGATGTGTGGAGAAAAAATTTTATTGCAGTATTATTTCAAGGTTGATATTGGAAACAACCTGAATGTCCATCACTGGAGCCTTCCTTTGTGAAATAAATAATGCTGCATAATGATGCTGCATAATGAATATATATGTGAATATATATTCATCTGTTGTCTCATTTTCTTGGTTTTCTCTTACAATTTCTTGCCTTTAAATACAAGATGTGTGTGTGAATGATACCTGAATTCTATCTACTCTTCAATTTTCTCTCCTGAACTCCCTTACACAACTACTGCTGGGTGTGGCCACTTTGAATTCTGAGTAGACATCTCCTGCTCATCATGTCTGAACTCTACTATTCCCTGCCAAATCTCACTTCCTTGGCAGTGAATGCCGTCCTTTTGCCTACTCAATCCAAAACCCTAGAGTCAACCTTCTTTCTCTCACAAGTAACTTTAACTTAGTCAGGTTTTTTTTTTTTTTTGCTTTCCCTTCAAGTTATATCCAGAATTCACCAATTTTTAACACATGACTGCAGCTATACTGCTCCATAGAAATGACAGTGGTCACTTCTACCAGGATTATTGCCATAACCCGTGGTCCTCTGTCTCACTTACCTTTATATGTTCTGTTCTCGTCACAGCAACCAGAATGATTTTCTTTCTTTTTTATTGTACTTTAATTTGTCATTGACATTATTCTTATTAGGTATAATTGGCATATAACATAAGATTCAATTGTAGTATATATTTTAAGATGATCACCAAATTAAAACATTACATGAAATCAAATGTTCTTTACTTCTCTGCAGTGGTTTGTACCTCATTCAGTATAAAGCCAGAGTCCCTACATTAATGACCTCTAAGGATTTATGTGATCTGGTCTTTGTTAATTCTCTGATATCACTCCTTATTATTCTTGTTTTTCCTTATTCACCCCAGACACAAATGGCTTTTTTGTGACACATCCTGAAAATACTTGTAATTTCCTATCTTAGAGTATTTTTCTATTCCTGGAATGCTCTTTTACTTGAATATCTATATAACTCTCTGACCTCCTTTAGATCTTTGTTCAGCTGTCACTTTTTCATGGAAAGACCATTACCCTAACTTCTTATTTGCCCTTACCTTTTCTTTTTGCATGTAGTATTTATAATCTCTAGAATATACAGTATTCTTTCCTCATTTACTATGCTAAATAAGATTGTCTGTTTCACTGGTGAGAATATAAGCTTTGCCTGTTTTCTTTTAATGATAGTAGCCCAAGGATTTGGAATGTTGAATCAATAGATAAATGAGGCAATCTGAAAGACAAATAGCAAACCTGTAATTATCCATTGCATTCTGTAAAAGTGGATAAATTTATGTAAATGATGTAAATGCTTCTAGATGCATTCAGTCCCCATGGAAGACTATGAAAAATGTCTTTGGGAGAAATAATTCTAGGGAATGGGAGGAAGGAACATTCAGTACTTTCAGATTGGCACATAGTGTCTCCTTTTAAAAAAAACTATTTTATTTATTTATGCATACAAGAACTGGAGTGTAGGCCAGAGATGAGGGGGATGAGAGGATCCACCAGAAACACAGTTTGGGGAGCTTAACAGAGGATATACTCCCTAGAAATACACTTCTGAGGGGAGCAGCGGGCAAGGCAGGAGAGGTCTACTGTGCCATGTGGGTCAGCTCCCTGGCTGGGGATCCAACTCATGCTGCAGTGGCTGGTGATAATTTGATAGCGCTGTGACTTTAGCCCCTGTGCCACCAGAGAGGCCCATGCGCATACTACTTAAAGGAAAGCATAGTTAAAAATAGAATGCATAGCTGAGCCTAATTCTATAGGTCCCAAAATTCTTCATAAAATAATCTTAATTTTTTGAGTTACTTAGAAGTTGTTTAATTATATTGCCACTAGGTGGCATATACTTCCTGATAAATTCTTAAGAACTAGAGCAGGTTTTTAAAGTTCTTCAGTTTTCCAAACTCACCAGTTTACTTTAGCTCTATATTGTATTTTTACCAATAAATCCCCCAAACTTCACCTGTCTTAACTTTTGGATAATTTTTCACTATAAATTTTATTAAATAATTGAGTTAAAGAAAATAAATCTGCAAATAACTGAGTGAGTTTGTAGATATTCTTAAAGTCATTCAAATATTCCATGCTTATCAAACTTTGTCTTCATCTTTTTTTCCCTCATTAAGTAACTTAACAAATGATATATACAGATTTTGTGTACAGAGTAGATTTTTGTTTGATTATTGCATCACTGTTTTTGTACCAAATAAATCATATATAATTCTTCCCGCCTCCCCACCCCCAGGACTATATATAATTTAACCACCATGCATTGAGATTAGGCAAAGAGGTACTGTGGATTCAGAGATGAAATGTTCATTACTATCTCTGCCTTCAAGGACCTTTCATTTATAGGTGGAGAAAATCATGAACACAAAAACTATAATACAACTCAGAAGATAGTAGTAATTAAAAGAAAACAAAGTATAGTGAAAACAGTTGATATTAAGTTGGGGGCTCCAAAATAAAATGAATGTTGATAATTTAAAAAATGTGTCATTCTCTGGATGAATTGAGTATAGGTTTATATATATTTACATCTTTGTATTAAAATTTATATATATCAACAGAGCGATATGAACTTTATATACAAGTCATATATAGGAATTAATAGAATAAACATCAATTCTTTTTGATAGTGATTTTTTTTAGAAAAGAAAGTGGTGAAATGTATTTCTAATTTTTTTAGTTTAAAAACATTATAAAAAACTTTTTGAGCAAGATCTAAAGTCACATTGAACAAATTAGAGTAAGATAATTTTTATAGTCATTTTTAACCTAGAGCTTCTTTAATTTTATTATTGTTTTCAAAATATATTTGAAAAATTAAATAAACATTAGAAAAGGTACCATGCTCAGAAAACAGAATAACTGTTTTTGATTGCTTACTATGACACAAAAAATTTCACTTAGTTCTAATGAAACCTTATGATGTGTATTATTATCCACATCTTATAAATGAAGAAATTTGTGTATGTAAAACAAAAAAATCTAGGATGAATATGGAAATTATCTGCTACAATCCAAAACTAGGTGTGAATGAGATCAGTTTTCTAACAGTTTTGAAACTTGACTTTTAATTTGTACTACCAGAGTATCATTGCTATATTATTTAAAAAGGAGGCAATATAATTCCAGTAAGATGTATTAATACTGATTGCTTTGTTGTATTGGTATTCTTAACCTTCTGTAACTTTCTAATCAAGAGATGAATCATATTATTTCTCAATGAATAAAGAATCTGACTATTTTGGTATTTAACTTGCAGAACTTCTACAGCTTTGCTATATTTTAGAATAATAGGAATGAAATAACAATCAGATAACAAAGTCTAAGTAATATATTATACAGTGCTGAAATTAGATTTAGTTCTAGACAATGACTGAATCAAATAGACATTAAAAGAAAATTATATATTAAAAATGTATCTTTCATTTCTATTTCTATACAGCCAGGAAAATGCAAGAATAAAAGGAAGTGGTATGAAAGTGCCCTACAAGAAGCATGCCTTCTCCATGGATATTCTCATGAGCAAAGATTGCAAATGTGCTGCATATTAAAACCTGGTATATTCACTTTGTATTCTTTATAAGACCAAATCAGGATTTATTCAGATGTATATTTTCAAAAATGTGTTCACACACATATAAATTGACCTCTTTCTCTTCATAGGAAGAGTAGATCTTTGTCTTCTGAGAAATCATTTTTATGGATTACTACCATGCATTTTGCCCACCAAAACTATTTTCAGTGACTAAACATATACTCCACTTAAATGTTAGGGTATTCATTGGTGTTTCTGTCATCTGTTTTGCCCGCAGTATACCTACATAGGTACTCTTTTGTATTTCAAAGCACATATTTCAAAATCAGAAAGCATGGCTTTAAAAATATAATACTGGAATAAAAATTTTGCTTGGATATGCTATACTGTTTCAGAACAAAGTAGTTTTCAAAATATTTTGTCTCCAAATTCAAATAAAAAATGAAAATAATCTTCAATTATTTTAAATTAGGGGAAAATGTTAATGTTTGAACACATTTTCAGATTTTTCTTGAGACAGAAACAGTGTACTTTATAGAGACCTTTTTAAATGAACTTATAAAGATAATAGTATTATTTTTATATTTAAGAAAACTTTTGGTAAAAAATGATTTTCAGTAAACTTAAATATGTTTGAAAGTATTTCTGCTTAGAAATATCATGCTTTTCTACCTTCTGATGACCCTTCTCAGCACTTTCAAGGTCTAAAACAGATTGTTGTATGGGGGCATCTGGGTGACTGAATTTTAAAATGACTGATTTTTTTTCCTTTGGAAAAGTTTAATATATTCTTTTAAAACTTAGATATGAAAACATTTTCTTTGAGGTAAAGTTTAAATATTAACTCAGCTACCTAAATTTAGATCTTAAAGTAAATAGGTAGGTTAAAAGGAGTATAAAAAGAATGACAAGTATACTACTATGGTTTACTCTGAGACCAGGAAAAGAGACATTTATTACTGCAAATACGATTTTATTCCTTGCGCTGAAAATATAATGTCTCTGTTTATTAGCAATAAAGGTTGAACTTAATCTGTTGTCATAAATACAGTTTTATGTCTTGCATGGACTTACAGTACATTTCTCATATTTAACCAAAGTAAACTTTGAAATATTTTTTTTAAGATATTAATATTTCAAGTAATATAGTCATTTACTTTTTAAACTCACATTGCAACCATTTTATATGCGCTGTAGACCCTCACTCTCCCTCTCCCTCTCCCTCCCCCTCAATAAGTGAAGGAACTAAGTCTTTGCCATTGTGTGTGCCAGTGTTTGTATCCTGGTCCTTTGGAGCCTTGCTTTTCCAGAGACTCTGGAGAGAGTTTATTTCTGATAGGCTTTGTAGCATCAGATCACTTGCTTACTGAAAATCTGTTGCTTTCTCCATGTAAAATTGGATGAACGTCAGCCTGGTTCTAGAGAACCATTCACCTAACAAAACTCATTTTGTCCCTGAAGTAGCAAAATTAGGGGCATGAATAGACTTCCTGGAGTTCCTTCTCTGACATAACAGACACTCACTCTTCATTCTCACTATTTCCAGAATAAACAATATAATCCTTATGTCTGTTTAGTTCCTGGGATAATCCTGGCATATAATAAACCTCTTATTAATCCCAAAGTAGTTTTGAGAAATAATTTGCCATTATTCAAATACTTTACAAAAGTTGACTAATTTAGAGCAAACCACTTAATCCTATCAACTCTCAGGATTTCTTCACTCAAAAAAACTTATCTTTCCAACTCACAAATCATTTTGTTATATTTTGTATCCCATTTTTTATTTCTTCCCAGTCTATACCTTCCTTTTCCTTTTTTTGTGTTACTGCATCAACTGGGAGTTCTAGTACAATGTTGAAAAGAGGGATTATCTTAGACTTGCCCCTCATTTTACTGAAAAAACTTCTAGTTTCTTACTATTTTGTTAGCTGCAGGGGTTTTTTTGTAGATTCCCCTGAAGAAGTTTCCTTTTAATCCTACTTTTCTGAATGGCTGATGGATTTTGTCAAGTACTTTACCTGCATCTATTGATATGTTGGTGTGACTTCTCTTTATTTCTAATTGTTACTAACGTGTCACAATGTATTGACAGTATAGTCTTCAGGTTTAGTCTGTTCTTGATGAAAGTTGAAGTGGACAGGTCCATGTGTACCTGGGATACAACATTAAATATTTCATTTTACTCTATTTTTGCTTGCATAACATCTGAGGAGAATTTGGATGAAATTTTAATTTTGCTCCTTTATAAGGTAAAGTATTTACTCCAACCCTCTGGGCTTCTTTTCAAATTTATTTATCACTGATTTTCTACATCTCAAATATGACATGTTTAAGTATAGTTTTATTGGCATTTATCATACTTGGTGTTCTCTGAGCCTCCTGAATCAGTGGTTTGGTGTCTGATATTAACTAATGGGAAATTCTCTGTTATTATTGCTTCAAATGTTTCTTCTTTTTCTTTTTCTCTTCCTTTTCCTTTTGGTATTCTCTTTACACATATGTTAGACCTTTGTAGTTGCCCCATAATCTTGGATATTCTGTTCTTTTTTTTTTTTCAGTCTTTTTTTCCTTTACTTTCTAATTTGAGTTTCTACTGTAATATCCTAAACTCCAGAGATTCTTTCCTCATCTTTGTATACCAATAAGTCTATCAAAGGCATTCTTCATTTCTGTTACAGTATTTTTTATTTTTATAACATTTTTATTCATTTTTAGAATTGCTACCTTACTGTTTATGTTATTCATCTGTTTTTGTATAGTGTTTACTTTTAACTTTAAAGACCTCTAAAGGTCTACTACTCATAGATGTATCAAATTTACTTTCTAGTAATTTCAACATTTCTGATATCTGGGTGTGTTGATGCTTCTGTGTGTTTTTGGTGGTGTTTGCTTTTTAGTATGCTTTGTAATTTTTTGTGGAAAGATGAACAGGATGAACTAGGTAAAAGGAACTATGGCAAATTGGCCTTCACTAGTGTAATGAGAGGTGGTAGGTAGTTAAGGCAGCATTCTGTAATCTTACCATGAAGTCTTAGTCCTGGACTTTGAATTCACAAAAGCTTTCGCTCTGTCTGTGGGTCTCTCTGTCACTTTTCCATCGTCTTTTAAGGGGTATTTATAGCCAAAGGAGGGCAGTATTGTGTATTCCCCTTCTCACCTAGGGAACACTAGACCAGGTTGAATTTGGGTCTTTCTCTTCCACCAGGTTTGCAAGGCTCTGGGGGGAAAAAAAGCATAAACAAAACCCCAATAGGCTATAGTAAAATAGTTTCTCTTGAGGGCAGCTCTTATTAAAAAGAAATGAATGTTCTGATATATTCTAATGAATTTCAAAATGGTGACATTTCCTTCCTACTGCTAGAAGGACAAGAGCTTTTTCTCTAATAATCTTTATTGTGGCATTCTTATTAGAGCTCGTAGAGGTAAACTCACAAAAGTGTGTCTCCCACTCCCATGACTGGGTCCCTCTGGAGTTCTTAACTCTTAGGCTTGTTCACACTGAGGCTCCAGAAGCATGTTAATTACAGTTCAGTTTTCCTACCCTGGCACTGGTTCCAGGGAAGGTTTGTGCTCCAGTAACTTGTGATTGTTTTTATTTGCCTGCCTGTCTCTCCAAATTTTGGGGCAGTGGTTTGTTCAGTGACCTCAGTTCTCTGAAGGCGCTAAGAAGCGTTATTGATTTTCTGTTTATTCAGCTTTTTCCTTGTTAGGACAGAGTGGACAAAAAACTAAAATTTTCACAAGACAGACCAGAAAAAGACAATCTTCTACCTTTTTAAGAAAATACTCTCAGTTGTTTCATTTAAAGAAAGACATGCTGACAGTTTTTCTGTGGGCATGAAAGGACAAACTTTAAAAAATTTATTTAAAGAAGAGAAATAATTGATTTATGTTATTTGTACTCATCTCTAATATATAAATGAAATATTCACATCTGTTATGGGTCATCAGGCATGACCACCTTTATTCATTTGGATCTTGCTCATCTGCCTGCAGCTGTTTTTGCATTCTAAGATATGATATGGCTATAGCTCAAAAGAGTAGAGGCCCTTTTAATTATCCAAATCTTTATTTCCTGTTAACTGCTTTTCACTCTGTATGTGACGGTCCTACATGCAGAGATTTCTGAAGGGAGGAAATTAAAACTTTCTCACTAGGTAAAATTCAGCAATTAGAAAGTGGTTAATGTTGCTGAAATAAAGCATGGACTACTATTACTAATAGGAAAATTGCTGGTGATTTTAATGTTTTTCAAAGTATTATGTCAGAACTTCCCTTTGGAATTTGTAAATCAGTGTGATTGCTGCCACTCCCAAACATTCCCTGTTGCACTGGGAGATAGTTTGCAATATTTGAATATGAAAACTTTCTTGAACAACAGTTTGGTTATGTTGGTTCCCAAGTCATTTCCCTACTGAAAAGCTTACATAAGAATGTTGGAGTATTTTTATATGCAAAGGTCTTGTGAGCCAGTAAAGTTACTTCAAAGTAAAAAGAATGATGTAATTTTGAGGAAAATTACAAATTTATACTTAACTCTCAGTGGATGATAGTCAGGATCTGTTGGATCCAATTGGAGTTTTTGAGCTTCTTTTTGTGCAGTTTTAACTATTATTTAAGATTGATAATTCATTACAAATGTTATTACAAGTCTTCAAAAAAAAAAACAAGGAATACAGCAAAGCTTTTGCTGTTTCGTAATTACTTTTAGATTTCACTTTGTACTTTTTATAGGTCTAAAATACATTATGTATTATGGTCTAAAATGTATTATTTGTATCATACAAAACAAATCTCTAGAGTTAGGATATTACAATAGAAACTCAAATTAAAAAGTAAGGAAAAAAAGACTCAAAAAAACGATCTTATTTGTCTTGAAATATTTTGCCATTTTATCTTTATTCATCACTTATTTACAACTATGTTACAAAGACTAAAATAATAAATAGAAAAATGATGGAATCATTTAAAAAGATAATACAACAGTGAAATTTATGATCATTAAGGTGATGACTAAGG